GCCCTCCGATGCCCAATAAAGCTGCTGCACTGCCTTCACGAGTCTGTAGCCAACCTTGGAGCGTCTGTGATGGAGGAGCAAAAAGATTTGCTCTGTTTGACTTTGAAGATTTCTGTGATGAAGGTTTCTATTATTTTAGAAAGCCTCTGCACCCTTCTGAGCCAATTCATCAGGTCGCCACGATGTTGGAGGAAACATTAACCTCATTCCTTCTAACACCTGCTAACCAGAGCGAGAACCCAAACACCTGGCTACCATGCAGCTGTCTGACCAACTGGCACAGGTAAGTGAGGTGACAGTAATAACAGAGACACTGGATGAGCAGTTTTTTTTTTTTTAATTTGTTTACAACAAGGCTACATCACCGATGATGTCATGGTGTCAGTCTCTCCGCCTCATTACCCAGAGTTCACTCTGTTTCACTTTGTGGAAGAACAACTAAAATTCAACCAAAGTTAAAAAGGTCAAAGGTGACGCCAAATCCTCCCGCAGCACGCTGCAGCCAAGAGCATCATGGAAAATCTTTTGGCTCCTTTTATGGCACGGACAAAAAAAAAACAAAAAAACAAAAAAACCCCACCACGACCAAAGTCCAAAAATAAATCTCTAAAAACTGTTGACCAGGCACATCCTCCGATTCACGACCGCAGCTTCCTGACCCCGCCCACCTGCCGGACCCAGCCCCGCCCACTCACCACCTGCTGCAGGTGAGGTCAGGTGAGTTCAGGTGAGCTGGGGTGGACTCATTCTGTCCAATCAGTCTTCAATCTGTCAGTCCTTCAGAGTGAGCCGCCCTGTTCACATTCGAAGTCCTTCATCATCTTCATCCCTTTGGATCCTCGTCTGCAGACGCAGATTATTGCCGTCACCTCTGAATGCTCGTCAACAAAAAGATTTACCTGTGGGGAAAAAAAAGAAGTCTTAAACATATCAGAGAAGCAAACAAACTCAGGCTGAATACACACCTGAGTGTACTTGAGAACAGGCTCACCTGGCGGTGCGAGAAGGCTGCAGCTATCGGAACAGTCTGGTGAACTCTCTGATGGCCCAGCACACCTGTTTACACTCCTCAGCGCTGCAGAACAACAAATGTGAGGTTATCCACTTGTCACCTATGCAG